CTGTGTAGAAGAAAAAAGCCTGAGGAACGTGGGGTTAAATAAGCCAAAAAAAAATAAAAAATAAAAATAGTTACAGCACCCATAGGACACACCACACTGGGTAGGTACAGAAATGCCTGTCTGTTCCATGTAATGAATGGTGATAAAAAAAAAAAAAAGAAAATCCCTTGTCCCCCACTGCACCTGCTGTTATGAAGCCTAATCACAGAAACACTACCGCAGCTAGTGACTCATAAATATTCCCCCGTTTGCCGCCCTACAGTGAATAAAAAGTCAAACACAGCATGGCGATATTAATGCGCAAGGTGAACATTAAGACCATGAATGTTTTCCTCTTCCTGTCCAGCAGGTGAGGCAGATGTGGAGCGGCTTCATGGCTGTGCCCCACATCCACACACCCAGCAGCTTCAGCCGTGCACTTCCAGCACAGCTCAGTTTCTCATTTCAAACGTTTCTGCAGCAAAGCAAATAACTGTCACAGACAATTAGCTTTTATTGAAGAACATATTTATTTTCGGGATTAACTTGTTACCTAGCAACTCCAGCTGAGGCCAAAATCTGCATTGAGAGTTGACTTTGGATTGCATTGTTGCAATTAGGAGCGAGTTTAGTAGTAAAAGTCACCCTTTAATGCCACCATTTAGCGGGTTTGTACACACCATGATGGCTAACATATGGCAAACTTGTTCAAAATATTAAGATCGGCTTGTCCTTCGACACCACTATGTTCCTGCTCGTTGCTGTTTAGGCCCATGCCAAACACCACGGCTAACCCATATGAGGATTAATGATTCCAGACTTCCCCCAACTCAAAGGGCAAGCGATGGCTCATTATACAGTTATTAAAAACAGCAAATTATTACAACATTTATTATCCCGGGCAATCTTATTTGCCCCACCAATGTCATAACTTCCATTTCTGCCATCTGCATCGGAACGAATGTGTCACATGTGCCACAACTGCACACACACAGAAGGCTACAGTATACAAATGTAGAGCAGAGGTCCCTGAGCCCCTCCTCCTCTATCCGCTTACTGTCATGTGAGGTACGTATAGTGCGCACAATAGATGCACTTAACGTGCCATAACAACCTGCTTTGAAAGCGCAGATTGCTATCACTGATCTATACAGTTTCGAGCCCACTGGGTCGTTTCCTGTTAGTGGTTTCACTTGTTGTGCCTTTGAAGCAGGCTTTAATAATAGGACCCAACAGAACTAATGAAAATGCTCTCTGTCAGATTAAAAGGGAGCTTCAGTCTCAGCCACCTAACCACATGCAGCACAAACATTAAAACACACACACATACACACTCACACACACACACACAGAGAGGCATGCATGCACACATACACACACACACACAGACACACACACAGAGGCATGCATGCACTCATACACGTACAGAAGTGGTTTACACAGGGAGGACCATTCCTTCTGATGTGTGGATGACTGCTAACCCTCTTAACAACACTAAGAATACCATCAGTGTCCCGTTTCTCACAGCAGTAAAAAAAAAATATGAGTGGATTGATGTCAGAGGGGAAAGGTGAGGAGAAATAAACAGACCCATTCATCCGAAAATCTGCGATGTGAATCTTTTTGTACCCCTGTCTCTTTTTTTCCATTGTAACGCTGCAATGTGCGCTTTAGTGGTGGTCTTGTGCTTAATGAATCCACTTCAGTGCAGTTCCTCTCCGTAAGCCTTTAGGTTTAATCCCCCAGTCTGGAGCAGTGATAGTCTGGCCCAGGGGATGACATCTGTGAATCGTTCATTAACTTGTAACCAGCAGCAGATGGCTTTAAAAACAACTTGCTACATCTACGCCTTATTTGACTCCCTGCAACAGTCAGTTTTGCTTTGCTTCATTCACTGTGAGGACCCGACCGGCTACAAGGAGCTGCTTATTGGCCTCGACTGTGCGATGTTAAGGTTTATTTGAAAAGAATGTGCAATTTTACAGTGGTGGAAAAAGTTCTCAAAACCTTTGCTGAAGTAAATACTTTTAACTTTTATACACAATTACAGTTTTTTATACAGTTGATATACAGCGCAGTTAGTAGTTTAGTTCAGTGGTTACCAACCTAGAAGAGCCACGTGATAAATCTCAGGGGTCATGAGACAGTTAGTGGGTTAGGAAAGAAAAACAACAAAGTTCTGCTTCACAAATTTGTTAACAATTAAAAAAAAAAAAAAAAAAAACTACTGTAATCTTTGCTTATTGTGAAGTATTCTTGTGAAATAATCTTTGCTTTTTGTGAAAAATAATTTGAAAAGAAACTACTAATTACATCTTTCAAATAAGTAAAAGTAGCAGTAAAAAAGCAGCTACAATACTTCACTGTGGCAGAGTGGAGTAGAAGTATTAAGTCGCATAAAATGGAAATACTCAAGTACAAGTACCTCAAAATTGTATGTGTATAGCACTTGAGTAAATGAGTAAATGCATACTTTTCACCAATGCAATTTTAGACAATGTAATGTTAAGGACTATTTGGAAGGAATGTTCTATTTTATATATAGTGGAAAATGTTTACTGTATATGCAGCAGAATATGTTTAAATGTAGCAGTATATGTAGCAGTACATATGTGTATATGTAATGGAAGTCCTAAAGCTGACAAACTGGTAAGAAACTTGAGCAACTGTTACAAGAATTTAAAGAGTGAAGGACAATGAACATGACATGCACTGGCTGGTGAGGTTTAATGATGAAAATTAGCTTTAACTGTGTAGCTTCGTATTATTCATTACTTTATTATTCATTATTTATGATGCATTGAGTTATATTTTTTGACTTGTCTGAAAACTACTACTATTACATTTTGTCAGTTTCGGGACTCCATAGCACAATTGTCACAGTGGAAGTGTTAAGCTGTGAAAATGAATAGCCTCCTGTGTAACATATACCGTGGCGCTTTGAACACCTGTGAAAGATGTTCAGGCACTTAAAACTGCTGAGTATTAGGCCTCAAGGTAGACATGGAGCACATAAAGAGTGGGATATTTCAACACGGACAGCCTCCCTATGGAAATATCATGTGTGATTTTGGGGGGTTAACCAGAGCAGGAAGACTGTGGTCTGTGTCTCCCAGGATGATATATATGTGACACAATGTGATTCATCTGTTACCGTGCATCCATGAGCTGTCTGGCAGATTTGGATTTTTTTCTCCTTTGGGATAATAATTATACAGTGTGGATCTCGGGCTAAATTAGCCGTGACTTGCATTAAAACATTTTCTCTTTGCCCATATAAGACTTTTATAAGTGGTTTTTTGATGTTTTGAGGACCATAAAAGTGAATAAGTGCGACGTGCATCACATAAAGAGGTGATCGAATGTGTGTGCGTGATGAAAGACAAGTGCCACCGCCAAATGCATGTTGTTAGGGCGTTACAGTGCGATGGTGGAAATGAATGAGCCACCAACGGCATGCACGGGGTTTTGTAGCATTCACGAGGCTACGTCATAGTGAATTACAAACCCTTAACAGTGCCGTCATGCAGTTAAGGCCCAATCGAGCATATCCAATCCTTTGGCTGGAGGTAGAACTTGTGTCATGCAGTGCGACATGATGGATTTCACAAATGTTTTTGAAATCACATAATTGTACACTGAGTGAGACAAGGAAACAGCAGTTTCGGAGTTTAACCACATATATTATAACCATAGACAATAATGAAGGCTTCATCGTACAGTCACATGAAGTGTATTTTAATAAAACACAATGTACACATATGCAGTCCTATGACCATACATTTGCTGGATCCTAATTATTAAACCTAGAATATGTCAAAGCATAGTTTGTCGTTTTTTCTTCTTCTTTAAAACATTGAAATCAGTAGATGAGGTCAAATGAATAATACAACACTTTGCGTGACATCAGACAGAAACCTTTTTCCACATGTTAAAGATATGCACTGTTATAAGGAACTCAAAGAATATTTCAGCATATAAGAGTAACAGTATGAGGCAAAATTCTCACTGAACAAAAAAAAGTACAAAATAGAATTAATAAATAAATCAAATATATACCATATAAATGAAATAGCTATGTGGCGGCTATGTTTATTATTTGTTTTTAATCATTTTAATCTGTAGCTTGGTATTACAACCTTTTTATCTCTAAAACATTTAGAACGGTGAACGAGTCAATACTGAAAATACAGTAATAAGCTTTCATAATTAGATAAACTATGTACATGAGTCTGTTGCCATGCTAGTCGAACAACTAAATTTCTTCTTTTTTTTATCCACACTATACAGTTAGAGCATAAAGCGGTCTGAACGTAAACAGTTTGTGCTGAGAATAAAATACTTTGCAACTATGCATGGTAATTTCTTTAATATTACTCTCAAAAATGTACATAACATAAAGGCCACACATGGGAACACTCCGTCTCCATTTAGAGGGAAGGTGAGGGTAGCTTTGACATAAATATAGGAACAAAAAACAGTCTCTTTCAGTTCAAGATGCCATTTTCTTGTCCATCAGCATCATTTGCTTCAGCCAAATCTCTTCTGCCTCTTCATCCTCCATCTTTTTGTTCATCCTCCCTGGTTCAACCTCCCCCCACCAGTTTAGCTTCCCTCACTACCTCTCTTTACCAACCTCCCTCTATCTGGCTCTCCCATCTCCACAGTCTCTGGTTTGCCTGTCCATCTTCCATCACCCCGGATGGTTAATGACATTGTTAATGATGGGAAATGAGTTCAGTAATGTCAACTGTAAAGGTCCACAAGGCAAGGCAAGGGTTGGGGCAGGGGGAACAGAGTCACCTGGCGGGTCACTGCAGTAGGGGGAGAAGCAGCGGGAGGCAGAGACATGAAGCGTGTGTTTAGTGTGTTGATACTGATATCCTACGTTAGACATATATTTTTGCAGTGACAGATTTATGGGTGAGAGCCGTGTCCTGTAGGGGCAGCGGGGGAGGTGGGAGGGAGGGCTGGGAGGCAGGTGGGGAGGTGGTGGGATTCGTGATAGTCGTCGGTCAGAATATGGGTGCAGCAGCGGCTAGCAGCTTTGCGTTGGTTCTTTGTTCAATGGGTAGTTTCAGTCCTCACTGGCTGGAGCGCGCAGAGGCCAAGTGGTCACTGTGCTGGTTCTGGGCCCGAAACCGCAGCCTTTGCTTGTTCTTCTTCTTTGGTTCTTTGGGTCGGTGCTTCCCTGAGCCACCTGGGAGTAAAGAGAGAGAAAGAGAAAAATGGTTATCCCGTAACTCAGTACTACTCACACTCCAAGTAACGACCATCCTGCATCAATCACTGTGTAGTAACTTGATCAATTGTAAAGTCGTTTGGTAATATTATATTACTATACAGGTGCTCTTAATTCCCATACTGTACAGTGGCCCTTTGAGCTCTATTTCTGTATTTGGTTGTGTAGTGTGTATTTGTATGTGTTTTCTTAAGTTGCAGTATGTTGAGCTCTCAGGGCCACCGTAATACTACGCTTATGTGGTGTTTATTCTTTGTGTTTCATGTAATTATCGCAAACCAACCACATGGCATGTAATCCACCGGGCTTGACGTCCAATAAATCCTCTGCTATTTTAACAGAAATGTGTTTTACTGATTGCTAATTGACTAGAAGCTGTGAGGCCTCCATGAGAAAAATGAATTCAGGTATTTTCTGGTGATGAGATTCATGCAGGTCTTTTCTTCCACAGAAAAACCGTTTCATCCCATAACCTCGTTGACCTGGCCTTACTATAAAGAGACTGTTGGCAACTGTGTGGTGCTGTACTAAGCATATTTGCTTTAAGTGCACCAGGGACGGTGCTGTGGTATTAATCATGGCGCTCACACTTGAACACTTGGACAGTTTTTTTCAACATTATGTTAAATTTCTACCTGATCATCGGCTTACAAAACAGCCACCGATGTGATGATGCAACATATTGATGGGTGCCGAGGTTTGGTTTTAAAAGCAACAGATTAACGACCTGTGAGCTCCACTTTATTGATTTTACTGTAAAACAGGAGTATGTAAAAGCACAGTCATGCAACAGACTGCTGGGGGATGGATTTCATGAGCTCAACCTGCTTATTTTGGGCTGGAGAACTCAGGATTTGAGAGTTGAGCTTGGATTTGATTACACTGGCCAAGAGTTAAATTTGATAAAGGCAATGGAATAGGAAGATAAACACTTGGAAAAGACAATCTGACTTTAACTGCAAGTTTCTCAAAAGAATCAGCAGGATTGGAGGTGTGCTTTGAGTGTTGATAGTGATGCATTACAAGTCGTGTAACTTTTGCCAATGAGGAAGGCTGCATTACATAAAGAAGATAACCCTATGCAGTGTGCGGGGACATCACATATCAGGTCTTTGTTTGCTCCAACCCTCAGGACTGAACCTCAGTTTTAAACAAAGGTCTGTTCAGACCAACACTTTTCACTGTCACTGCAATAGAGAGGGGAGATAACTATGGGAAGTTGCATAACTCTCTTTCCAAGTTGGAAAGGCCCCCCAGCCCAAGGTTAATACATCCCAGGTTTCACTGCGATGGGCAAGGCATGCTGGGAACTGACTTCCTGCTCTCATGGAAGCTTGTGTGGTGGAGGTTCTGCACCCACGGCTCTCTGCGACAGAGAAAACTCTGGCTACCGAACCACAAAGCAACAATCTGGCTGCCAAGGCCACAAATAAGATAACGAGGTGTGTGTGCGAGATGTATGTGTGCGAGTGGGGGGGAGTGAGTGTGAGGGAATTTAAGGGAAAAGAAAATCTAATGGGGGGAAAAGTGGAGTAAGGCTTGGATGATGAGACGCTATCTGGATCATGATCTAGAACACAAAGAAACAAGCCACGCTATGGTTCGCTGAGGGGGAAGCACAGGAAAGTGCTACAGAAAAACAAGTCTCGAACGCAGGCCCTCGCTGCCTCACTCTGGGTCTTATTACTTGCACTTGTTCAAGCTTTTTCTCTCACGAAAAATAGGTAAGAGTGTTAAATGTGGCTTTATCTCTAATTGCCTTCTCATAAACGCTGGCATTGCAGTGGCCTTTTAAGCGCCCCTACAAAAGACCTATTTCCCATTCTCAGGGCTACACTGTGAGGTAGATTTGAAAATATTCACTCGTTTAAGCCGACATGCATGAGAAAGCAAGATATTGCTCTGCTAATAAGGTCTCCCAATGAATAATACAGATGCATGCAAACATCAAAACAATCTCAGAGCTATTTCCTGCAATTAATTTAATCTTGTTACTTTGAGTCACATTGCCAATCTGAGCCATGGTAATAAAGCTTCTTGCACACAGCTCCTAGTTAAACTCACCCTTTGAAAAACAACTTTCACATCACTTCCACCAAAATCTCATGCCCTTCAATTGAAACATATTACCAGAAGACTTTGTACACTTGCTTAGCTGATGCCACTTTAGATTCTTTGCGTGACTTATGGTACAATAATGTTTGTTAAAGTAAATCTGGAGCTGAAAGGCATTTGGCCTATAGGTTCGTTTTCCTAATTGCTCTTTAAAGAGGTAATTTTCATTCAAAACAGTGTTGCTAGGTGCCTGATAAACATGGCTTTCAGAGCAATCAACTCAAGATGAATTACATTTGACGGCAATAAAGTACATTGTGCAGCATTAAACTCCCGCTGTAACGGGCAAAGCCCTCATGGGCCATTCCTTGGACGCAAGGCTGCATTTAAACAGAAAAGGCCTGCATTTACAGCAATTGCTTGAAACACAAATAAATATGTGAGAGTTAAGTTAAAAAGTAGTTTTCCTGGCTAGTTCAGGACTGGGCAGGAGATCTGTAATCCAAAGAGTTTTACGCTCTCTGTAACAGCATTCATGACGCAAACACACACACACACACACACAGACACACACACACAGAACTGCGAGAAAGAAACAAATTCAGCAGCTGCACAAGCAGACTGACCTACTGAGGTCAACAGGTATAAACACATCGCTTTCATAGGTTCATTGATTAATCGTTTTATACTGATACAACAACTTTTTAAAGCTTTGTGATTATTATTTGGGCGAATCACATCACTTCACTCTTTCCCTCTTTCCTTGCTTCATTCCTTTTTTCATGGTTGTCTTCTTTGCTTTTACTATAACAATAAGAGACTATAACATACATGTGAAAGGGGCAAGGGGGTAACAAGACAAAGACCCACACGTGTCTAGCCTGCAAATGGTAGTAGCAGTAACTACAACTACAACATTTTGTCAAAACTGAGTGAAGATGTGAATCTGGCTTTTGACATGTTTTACTATATGAATATGTACCAAATAAATAATGTATGATTTCTTTGAAAAGAACAGTTTTTGCAGTAATTACCTGAGCTAAAAACAAGACAAACTGCAGTAACTGCCCTCTGGTTTAGGTAATCTCCGGACTCTTTCTGCCACAGAGACAGCCAACTTGATACGATGCTGGAGCTATGTCAAGTGAAAGCTAGCTAGCCTTAGCTAAAACTTAAACTACATGTACTTGTTCATTTTTCCCCAGCTGCTTCCAGTAAATGAAAAATATCAATTTTCATGTGCTGACGATATTCACATAGTTAAATAAGCAAGTAGCTAAACTCCAAAGCTCCAAAGCTGCTATCTCAGTTTTTGAATCCAGTGGGAATCATGTGTTTTCATGCGGTCACTCTACTTTAAATCACACATTTTAATATATTAAATGTAAATTCATTAATTTCATTAATTACAGCCACATTAATAGTAGACAGATAGACAGACATACATAAGTAGGCACACATTTAATCCTTATGAGCTGTGGACTGTATCAAATTAACAAACTAGATAGAACGGGGAAAAAGGCTTGAACTCATTTTACTGGTAATATAATGCATTTTTCACGCATTTAATAAAAATTAAAGGGAGAGTGCAGAAACTTTATCTTTTAGATATTAGCTATATAAGTTCTATGGAAGTGATTTAGGGGGTAAAAAGATCAGCTCAGAAAGACCATGAAATGAAGATTTTATAGCATTGCAACCTTTTTATCTGAAAACTTTAGGCCCCTGTTTCTCAGCTTCATTCCCTCTGTACTGCTCTCTGCCTGCAGCTTTGTTTCCAAGGCTTTTTTTTTTTTGTTCCTTGTTGAGTCTTTCGCTGTAAGTTGATAACAGCTGTCAAGACAGTCTGCAAGTCAAATTATCATGCTACATATGGAATATACAAAACAAAGTTATGGACGTCTTTATAGCACGAACCAAATATACTATGCTGATCCCTGATACTTTCCAGTCGCCACTCTTAAATTGTACCCTGATAAATTACATGTTTCTGGATATTGTAAAGATACTGTACAATGTCCAGGAGTACTGACAGTTCAGGTCCATGTTGTAAACATACCCATCACAGGCTTTTACTAGATTTAATTTGTTTGTTAAGAAGATACTGACAAGTTCAGATTTGTATGATTCACCAGCCTTTCCTGCAGAAGCTGAATACTAATCAGGCTTCTCAGTACTGCACCAGCATTATCTATGTGTTTCCTCCTTCAGCTCAAACTCTTCAAACTAGCTGATGGCACTTCATAAACTCAGCTCCTCACCAAAGTTAGACCATATTTCATAACCCAATCTCCGTGCTGACAGCTAGAGGGCAACCAATCTCCACATAAGCCCCTTCCCCCAGTATGTGATAGAGTCCTATTGAGATGGTCTATCATATCTACCCAAGAACTCCCATTTAGCTTTTCCTCAGGGCAGCATGCACTCTGAACACTGAGCTTTCATCATCTCATATTTACGACCGATGTAATCACTTAAGCTGATTACCAGGGTTCACAGAGGAAACAGTTTAATTTGCCTGGAAAGAAATGATTAAGTCATCTCAATTGCTTTCAAAACCAAGAACAAATTCATAAATCTTAGAGCATGTAAAGATAATTTTGTCTTGGAAGGCATGGTAGGTTTCAAATCATTTTTCTGTCTTTGTTTTACGTCGTAACTGGCACAGTACGGGTCAAATCAAAAGAATATGGCTTTTATCAGAAATTATAATCCCTCTTTATACTTTTCTTTCCGTTCTGGCTGCGTTTACTATCACTACAGCAAACCATAATTTCACCAATGTTTAGTTTTCCCTCATAGATACAATCTTCCTCTGCCAGCTTGACATTTGAAATTAAAAGTAAATCAAACAAACAAACAAAAAAAATCTCAAGAGCAAATCAAAATGTTTTGTAATTCTG